TTTTAATTCTAACAGCATTTATAACTGACTGACACAACAGCTTATAACTGCGAAACCCAACACCGAAATCATCTCTGAATATGTTATAAAATCACCCGTTTCTCTTGCATAAGTGAAATTTATTGACCCTCTGAAGTTGTTTGGTAAACATTGCTGTTAACTAATTAATGTTTTTAGATTATTGGGCGTTCTTCTGTCTCTCTCTCCCTCTCTCTCTCTATCTCTCTCTCTCTCTCTCTCTCTCTCTCTCTCTCTCTCTCTCTCTCTCTCACACACACACACATACGCACACACGCAGGGTATCTTTCAGATGACTTTTGGTATATATGAACTTTTTGATGTTCTGCAAAAATTCGCACCCGACAAATGGACATATTAGATGTCACCCATGGTTGTATGTGTGTTAAAAAAACTTCAAAACTACTATAAGGACTCCAAAATATTGCTACAATCCAATATTATGACACTCCACAGACGGTCACGTTGGATGCATACAACACGACCATCAATTACATTATTATCATCACTGTCATGTCATTATTTTACTCATCACCACTATCATGCAATAAAGATCATCAGTTATAACATTAGTAGTGTTCTAAGTGTACAAAACGTCCTAAATTGATGTACTATAATTTTGTAATTGACGGTTTAATTAAAAAAAATGTCTTAACAATTTTAACATTCAGTTGTATAACTTTTCTTTGAAACATTTTAGCAGCTGTCTGACTCCTTGGTCTGTGTGGCCTTCGTACTACACAGTATTATGTTTTATATTGTTGGTTAAATTTGGTTAACTATTTCAATGTCAAGACAAGAGTACCTATATTTGTCCCCAACCTAAACAAAATATAATTTTTTTTTTTTAAGCCCACCCTGGCTCTTGCCAGGGACCGCAATATAGGCTAGCCATAAATATGGCCTAATTGCTGAAAGCTAGAATGTCTTTGCATTGGAACCCACAGGGGCATATGAATAAAGGAAGGCCAAAAAACACATGAAGAAGAGAGCTGGAGAATGAAGTAAGAAAGCTGGGGAGGACATGGGGAGAGCTCCATGTAATGGCGAAGGATAGAACGACTTGGCGTGAGCTGGTTGAGGGTCTATGCTCCATTTGTGGATAGAAAGGCGGAAGAAGAAAAAGAATGGCTGAACGCGGTTTCCGGGACCTCTCCACGTATGATCCTCAACCGCACGGTGACATTTTGTGTCGTCGGGTGTTTATCGCTTGTGTGATGTCCTAGTGGGATAAAATGTACTAGAACTGCTGGAACGTCAATAAAAAGGTTGTCCCCACGTGGGACACAAGTTTTCGTTATTGTGAAGCCCCACCCTGGCTTTTGCCGGGGGCTGCAATATAGCCTGACGGTTGAATGCGGTTTGTGAGACCTCTCCACGGATGATCCCTATTCGCATGGTGGCACTTTGTATCACCGGGTTTTTATCGCTTTGTGTGATGTCCTGATGGAATAAAATTTACTTACTTACTGCTCGAAAGTGTGACAAACCCGTCCAATTATGGGACGCACGTAGTTATTATTTAAAAGTACCATCCCGGTTTTGGTCGGGAGCCATAATATAACCTAACGGTTGTACAGGGTTTCTATGACTTGTACCCGGATGATCCTCCTCCGAATATTGGCACTTTGTGTCACCTAGTGTGGTCACTCGTCATGGGGTTGAATCACATACACGTTCGATGGTTAAAGTTTCCTAATCTCCGCCGACGATGGGACGCAATTTTGGACATTGATCACGATCATGCCGATGACATTGGATTCAAAAAGCTTGACTGAGTTCAGCTTGTGATATTTGTAGTGAAAGTATGAAGCAATATCATCAGCGACGTCTAGATCATCAAGCTGTTTTGTAGGGGTACACTAAACTTCATTCCTGGTATAAGCAGTTGATGTCTTCAGAACCCAGTCTTTTGTCAGCGAAAAAAAAAGGAAATGAAACACAAGACATCCCTGTCACACACCTGTCTTTATTTCGTATGTACATGTTAGCTTTCCCTCATGGAGAACTTGACATTTCACGTCTTAACTAAGGTGATAATTTTCTGTAGGATTCCATAGATGTCAATATGTCTGTGGTTGCTGTTTTGCCAGGCTAGCAGTGGATACCAGGAATTTTCACGAGGATTAATGTTGGCCGTCTTAATGTTGGTCACAAACTGAATGCAAAGTTGTCTATAACAGTTTGGACTAGCACCATATGCCGAGGCTACTCTCATCTTGACATCGTATCTCACTCACCCCAGACACGGAGATAGACTGACCTAGTTTAGCCATGTTGAGTACATGTTTATTTAAATGTTTCTTCTTCTGTTCAGATGGATCAAATCTTCTCAACGTGAAATAAAGGGTAACTTTTTCACGCAATGGTTAAAAGCCCTTCAAACCTTATGCACTGGCGACCATTCCGCAACCAAATACGTTTCTGTCAGCGTCTACACTACTAGCAGTGAACATCACAGTAAACGGAATGATATTAGAACAGGTATCTTTAAAAAAATCAATCTTTTACATTCAATAATATCACAACAAACGGAGAGACAATATAACAAGTAAAACAATGTGTCCCATCTTGGTGACATAATAATATCACAGTGAACAGAGAGGTATTAGAACAAGTAACAGGTTTCTCCCATACTGAACATGTAATAACATAACAGTAAATGGAAAGACTTCCAATAATTATTTCATTTTTTGTGTTATACGATGTATTATCAATAGCCCCAAACACCATTAGGTTTGTTGGCTAGCTGGTTGGGAAGTAGATTCGGCAAGTTTATTAATTACTTAGCTGGTTCAGTTGATTAGTAAGTTTGTTGGCTAGCTGGTTGGGAAGTAGATTCGGCTAGTTTATTAATTACTTAGCTGTTTCAGTTGATTAGTAAGTTTGTTGGCTAGCTGGTTGGGAAGTAGATTCGGCTAGTTTATTAATTACTTGGTTGGTAAACTGTTCAGTTGATTAGTAAGTTTGTTGGCTAGCTGGTTGGGAAGAAGATTCGGTTAGTTTATTAATTACTTGGCTATTAAACTGTTCAGTTGATTAGTAAGTTTGTTGGCTAGCTGGTTGGAAAGTAGATTCGGCAAGTTTATCAATTACTTGGCTGGTAAACTGTTCGGTTGCTTAGTAAGTTTGCAGGCTAGCTGGTTGGGAAGTAGATTCGGGATTTTTTATTAAATACTTGGTTGGTAAACTGGTTAGTTGATTAGTAAGTTGGTTGGCTAGCTGGTTGGAAAGTAGATTCGGCTAGTTTATTAATTACTTGGCTAGTAAACTATTTAGTTGATTAGTAAGTTTGGTGGCTAGCTGGTTAGGAAGTAGATTCGGCAAGTTTGTTAATTACTTGGTTGGTAAACTGTTCAGTTGATTAGTAAGTTGGTTGACTAGCTGGTTGGGAAGTAGATTCGGCAAGTTTATTAATTACTTTGCTGGTAAACTATTTAGTTGATTAGTAAGTTTGTTGGCTAGCTGGTTAGGAAGTAGATTAGGCAAGTTTATTAATTACTTAGCTGGTAAACTGTTTGGTTGATTAGTAAGTTTGCAAGCTAGCTTGTTGGGAAGTAGATTCGGGATTTTTTTAATTAAATACTTGGTTGGTAAACTGGTTATTTGATTAGTAAGTTGGTTGGCTAGCTGGTTGGAAAGTAGATTCGGGAAGTTTTTATGCAATGTCGCTGCCATAAAAGTATTTGTTCATAACAGATGCTTTTTTACTACATTGAAATGCCACCACAAATTATAAATGAGGTCACCAATTTTTTTTTTTCTTTAACGAACCAACTGTCCGTCGTCCACAATTTCTTATCTAATCTGTCAGCCTTCCCTTATGCCTAACCCCAATTATCAATGTCGTTTAAAACGTCGTGCCCCCTTCAAAACTGTGTGATTAACTGGCACGTTTTCTTGGACCCAGTTAGGTACAGGTTTACATTTCTGTAATTGTTCTGTGAAGGTAAAAAATGTTGCTTTCTTAAACCATTTATTCTTATGTTTAATCTTGTATATGCAATGACTCTTCTTCTGATATTTTATTGAAATTGTATATTGGTTACACCATCATAATTATTATCATTGTTGTTGTTGTTTTGTTGTTGTCCTCCTTCATATTATTATTTATGGCAAATCCGTAAAAAGAGTTTCACCTCTTTGTTCGTTTTTCTCTATTTGTCCTTAAAACTATTTCCCCTCAAAATTTATATATCCAATGTATTTTGACATGCCTAATACATTTAATTATGTCAAAACAATGTTTGCCCGTTTTATATTTGAACAAAGAAGACACAAAAAATAGATATTACACTTTATTGCCTAGCACAGTGGTCCCAACACTGCACCGCGGCGTCCCGGGGAGCCGCGACCTCTTCAAAGGGACGTCGCGAAATGTAAAAGCTTCATAATTAATTTAACCAAGACAGGAATAGTCATACTTTTACTTAGGTTATGACGCTACTTAGGTTATGACGCTACTTAGGTTATGACGCTACTTAGGTTATGACGCTACTTAGGTTATGACGCTACTTAGGTTATGACGCCACTTAGGTTATGACGCTACTTAGGTTTTGACGCTACTTAGGTTATGACGCTACTTAGGTTATGACGCTATAGACAAATTTTAATTGAAAAAAGGAGCAGCGACCAAGACAAGTTTGGGAAACACAGGCCTAGTATATTTCGCTGTATCTCGTCAGGTCCATACTAGAGTAACAAGTTAATCAATGACACAAATAAGTGAATCCTTTATAACTGAAGTACAAACTAAAGCACTCTCCAAACAGAACGACAATACGAATGCCGTGGTAAAACAGGCAGTTGCTTCTGAGAGGTGCATTTTACTAATTTGTTCATTTTACTATTTTATTTATTTTACTAATTTGATCATTTTGAAAACTATTTCATGTTACTAACTTCTTTCTTTTGCTAACGTTTTCCTTCACTAATTTGTTCATTTAACTATTTTTCGAAACGTTTACAGCGAATCGACCAAAATGATGCTGCAGCTGCTAATGGCTGTTTGTCTCGGTGCCCTATGTGCCCAAGGAAAAACAGTTTCCAACTTCGATCATTATGACTGCGCACAAGTTCCCGCTGAGACTACGAGATGGAAGGCCACGGTTTCTCTCACAAAGCCCGTATATTTGGTTGAGGTAATAACATTCTCAGTCTGTGGCTTAGGCGTTTCCAATGTGCTTCGTTATGCCGGGATGCCGGGGTGTTAGGTTCGATCCAAGCTGCAGGCGACTGGGCAGTAGACCACATTGCGTTGGTGTCGACAGTGGTACAACACTTTAGTCTGTGGCTTCGGCGTTGCGAACGCGCTTTGTAATGCCGGGGCACCCGGTTCATCCCAGCTGTAGGCGACTTGGCAGCAGGTCACCTTGTTCAGTATATACAGTGGTATTGAGAGCTGACCTTGCAGTAGGCAACGGCAAAGTATTGAAGGGATATTTGCCTATATGATCTCAATCTAATTCTCTGCATCTCTTTGTAACGCTCACAAACTTATTCCTTAAAGAATTTCGCTTCCTTGAATGCTTACAATACTTTTTAATCACTTGTCATTGTTTAAAATATCACTTACACAAACGATTTTAAAATGTTAACATGCTTCCATGAAGGCAGCCATTTTGATAGTTCCATAATGCAGGACCATTCATTGTAAGAAAACTGTTGGGGAGGCATTAATTGTAGCTAAAAATTGCGTGTATGGGTGGAACACTAATCTGTGAATTAATGTTGTTCCAATACCAGAAAGACCATCTTTGAGCTATCATAATTCTAATAATGCTTATCAAATTCAAAACAAATGTGCACAGAAACGTGTAGCATATTGGTGAATATTTGAGTTGATAGCAAGTTTGTTTACAAATTCAAAAATCCAACTGTTTCAATATTCCATACTAGTATTTGCCCCATAATTAAGCAACTGGAAAGATTTATGGAAAAAGAGATGGTCAAACAACGAAAGCAGATTCTTGGCAATCATTTGTCATGGCATGGAACAAGAACACAGGAACCGATAAATGCTGATAGAGATCTGGCGAAGCATAATCTCTAACGCCAATCTGTAAGATCATTCTTGATAATGATTATGATGATGATGATTATGATGATGAGATTTGTTGATAACGACGGCAATAACAACGATGAACACTGTAGATGTCCGTGGTTTAGTGGATAAGCCGCGTACTTCAAACTTTGATGGTTGCAAGTTCGGCGTTAGACTCGGTCCTTCTGTCCATGAGTGTGCGTGTTTCAAAAATCATTGCTCTAACTGAGGAGGTTTTTGCTATTAACAACGCTCTTGCGGGATTTTAAAAGATTAGCCTGGACTTCCAGGTAAACCAAAGCTGAAATATCTACCGGGAAAGATCCTACGAAAGTAAAGGCGACATGGGTCCATACCTCCACTGGAAAATCGAGTATTGTAGGTAAAGAAAGTAAAGATCCCTTTTCACGCCTTAGGTGCATCAGGCATATGGGAATAGTGTCCTTTATTTTTACAGACCAATCGGCACTGGGTGGGTAATGTCGTCAGCATTACGCCGGCCGTCTTTACTTCCCCACGTCAGCCATTCTGGTTCCCATTTTAAAAATCCACGCAGCCAGCAGTGGGTTTCGATCGTGGTACTTTGGGATTACGAGTCGGACACGCACCGTCTAAGTCACGGATGCCGCCAATCGAGAATTGTTAAGTTTTAAAATATCGTGCTACATATCCTAAGAATGGAGTAGGAAAACATTTGTTGTTATTTTTGTTTCACTTTCCACAAACCGCATATGCAAATCTCTCGAACACGATATTACGAACCCTATAATGTTTGCTATATGGAAAATTTTTATTACTTCTATTTCTCTATGTCATCATCTTTTTGCAGACTTCATTTCTCTCCTGTATAATTTTTCCCATAGTTTTATGCAGCTCATTAAATTAATTTCTTCAAGAGCGGGCTGAAAATGATGTACGCGTCAGCCAAAAATTTGGAGGACAAAAGACAAGTTGGAAGTCCTCCAAATGAGCTCTTGAAAGACTTCTGTGTCATTAGTCTTGGGTCGATGGTAATGACATGTGACAAGACAAGTAGCTTTAGAGATCCAAAGTATCTGTCTCCGGTGCTTTGTATAATGTCAACAGCTGACTGTTTTCTGTGACATCGGAAATCTGTTCAATCGGTCGTTTTCTGTTTCTAATTGTTGTCTTAATGTTGTCTAGTGATTTGAAGTAGAAGTGTGGCGATGACTATTTGCCTGCCGGTCTAATGGATATTTGTTCGAATCCCCACTTATAGCGGTTTTTATAAGCTTTTATTAAGAAAACCCTCTAATTTTTGTCTTGTCAAAACTTTGTCTTGATTCAAATTATTTCATGAAAAGCTATCGAGCTGAAAATTTACCTACACTCTCTTTGTGGTTGACAAGGCCATGTGCTGAAAAAATGTTGAAATAAAAAAGGATAATTTAAAATTTCGATTTCAAAGAATTCATATTTGAAAAATAAAATACAATTTCAATGCAACTGATCCAACCGTTCACCATGGCTCATGTCTTAGTTTTCAGGTCTACTCACCCTACTATTTAATGAACAGTCAAGGCGGATGGCCTAATATTGACTCGGTGAACATCGAATGGTGATTCATCTATGGGATGTGGGGCTAGCACTGTGTACTAAATACAACTGAAGGCGTAGCCAGGATCCGCTGCTCACTTTATTTACTATATATTCCCTAGTCCACGTAGTGAATATTACACAAAACCAAAAACACAAGGAAAAAAAAACGGTTAAAGTAACGTTAATCTCCCCAAATAGAGTCGGCCAATTTTCACTCACAAGCTTGTTGGGCTGGTCGACTTTCCTAAAGGTTACGATGTGTCCCGCTTTGTTGTTTGCTTTTTTGTGCTGTTTTGCATTTACGTTTTCTTTCCGAGACAGAGAATACCTGTGACATAGGTTGCAGAACTCGTTATGCCAAGTTTTGTTAGGGCCAGTTACTCCATGTGTTGTGAGCGTTAAAGGAACTGGCATACTGAAATATACAACACGTATATCAATAGTATCGCGGAACACCCATCTGAATTTGTGTAGAGGTCACGGGTCTCAGGAACTACCGATTAGAAGTGACCTAGTGTTTATGGGCGAAGTCTAATTTCATCATTCTTAATTTTATCTTTTTTTTCACATCGGCAGCTCTCCTAAGACCTACCTCATCTCTGTTGTTACGATCTTCCGCTCATTAGTTGCAGTAAGGGTCCATGTTTGGCACTGGTAGCACAATTTCGGCCAAAAGCACGTTCTCATGAGATCTGCTTTGGTTGACACGGAAAAGGGAAAAAAAGCCTAATAACGCAACACGGAAACAAACATTTGCAATTGCGTAAATTAGAAGTCTGAGAAAGGCTGCGGGAGTGACCAGAAGAGGCAATAATGAAAGAAGCTACACACATTTGATATGGAAACAAAAATGTATTACACGCAATGACAGCAAATATTATTATTTGCCCAGTCGAAAAAAGAATGCCTTGTGGTACTATACCATTCAATAAGAATAGAGTAACTTAGAGCGCAAAGTGGATCTAGAACTCGAAAAAAAAATCTGGCATTACTGCCCGAATTTACCAGATTTTTTGTTGTTGTAAGTGTAAAAGAAAGCGTTAGAGAGAAAAAAAAAGTCCCCAACCTTACAGAGGCATCGGACATAGGTCTTCAAGATAGATCTAGAAAAAACAGTTGAAAATTGACATAAACATGGGTCTTCAAAATAGATCAAGAACCAGATGGGAAATTAACATCAAACATTGGTCTTCAAGATAGATCTAGAATCAGGTGGGAAATTAACATTGAACATGGGTCTTCAAGAAAGATCCCCCCCCCCCCCTTTCCAAAAAAAAATAGAAAATTGACATCAAACATGGGTCTGCAAGATAGATCTAGAATCAGGTGGGAAAATAACATCAAACATGGATCTTCAAGATAGATCTAGAATCAGGTGGGAAAATATCATCAAACATGGATCTTCAAGATAGATCTAGAATACGCTGGGAAGTTAACATCAATGAAACTAAAGTATCAAGTTGTCTCTGGTTGTGTTAGCCACAAGATCGGGAACCTCGTGCATCTCCTGTGACACCTGAAGCAGTATAAGATGAAGAGGTGCAGATGAGGAAAGCGTAGTAATTCAGCTAGTAGGAGCTAAAATAATAAATGCATATGCAGATGGTTATTGTTAGAGCGCAGGACATGGGCAATTAACAAGTAATCAGAACTTTACATTCAGGCCATTGCGGTATTGTCTCACAGCAGACTATGTCGCACTTAATTCGAGTTGTTGATTTAAAACAAATAGCGAATAGTTAACAAAAGTGTACAACTAAAGCAGAAGTGCTGACGCGGTAGAGATTTAGCGAAGCCAATTGTTGAAAGGTACCTGATGAGTAAAGTGATCATTATCACTGCATCAGAGGCAGAATTGTTTGTTATTTTAAACCCTTTTCCTATAGGGAGATAGTGCTAGACCAATTCTTGATAGACCAAACGGCAGTAGTTTGGTAATATAGTCATAATGACTCCAGCCGTCCTTACTTCCCAGGACTATACCTGGTGCCCATTTAAGGCTGGTTCATCATGAAAGCCAAGGTCATTTCTGGAAAAAGCCCGGCTCCGTTCGAATTTGAATCTACGACCTTCGAATCCGCAGGCGAGCGTCTAGCCCGTACACCAGAGAGTCACCTTGGATAAAACAACAGAAAACTGTTAACTCGTGGTTAATCTAAGACGTAAAATCCCTGAGATGTCAACATCTGGATCAGTTCATGAATCTCGTTAGTGACACACTAGGCCTAGGAGCCGGTCATTTGTTAAAGAAAGATAACACTGTCTGCCAGTTCATTATCTTTAACCATCTTATAAAACTAGGTCCAATTTTTTGCGTACAATTTATTTTTATTTATGCAATTTTATTAATTTTTTTTAATTTTTGTTTAAAAACAAATGAGAGTAATTAGTCACAACAGAACTAAAATAATGACGTGCTGTGCAAGGTGTAACGAGGAAAGTTCGACATAGGAACGATGATATCAGGAGGAGAGTCGGCACAGAACCAATACTGAACTTTACAGGTGGACAACAAATTAAATTGTTCAGTCGTGTAACAAGACTGGCATCGTCACGGCACTACTGAGAGCAATGTTATACTGATACAGCGGTAACAGACCCAGAAGTCGACCATGCGGAAGATTGACCGCAGAAATATCAGAGACACTGAAAAGTACTTTATAGAAAGCGAACAGATGGGCCTGTTCCAGAGATCCCTTCCTGGTGGCGAGGCATTTCAGGAGTGGAGAAAAGAAGAGGAAACGCTGACTGAGTAAGAACGAAGGATATAATTTATAAAAAATAAATTTGAAAAATACTAGAACCGAAACATGTAATATAGTTAATCAATGAACACAAGATGTATTGTCTTGCACAGATGACAAAAGCACGCTGCTACCACATTCCACACATAGCCACACCAAAGACAAATAAGGAGCAAAGACAGAACGACGGCGCCAAAATAAAATAAAAAATAAAAACTTTCTAGAAATAAAGGTAAACTTATACGGTCCATAAGTAAGAAAGAGAACACACAGGATCCTTCTACCTCAATACTGCTGAAGTACTTGGAAGAAGAGGAGAAAGAGCAGGCGAAAAAGAAGATGATGATGATGATGATGATTAAGGAGGACGAGGAAAAGAAGAAGAAGAAGAAGAAGAAGAAGAAGAAGAAGAAGAAGAAGAAGAAGAAGAAGAAGCAGGTAGAGTAGGAGGCGGAGCAGGTGGAGGAGTTGATCAACAAAAAGGACAAAAACAAGAGAAGAGAGTGGGCTAGTAAAACAATCGTGAATATCGTGGGGAAAAAAGAAAAAGAAAAATGTCTTACAATTAGGTCGAGATGAGACAATGACCGTACGATGGCCATATAAAAAAAAAAAAAACAGTTAAAGTGCTGGCCGGAGAGAAAGGTAGAAAAGAGGCGAGCAAGAAGGAAAAACCATAATAGGATGGCGGACACAACCAAGAAATTGATTAGGAGAAGATTTTATGAATATATCAGGAAGACACAGGAGAGAAATGGAAACCTATTATGGCTGACCTCCAATACAGAACTGGCACTTGAGGATGGTGACGAATCACGGAAATAACTTGAGCTACAAATTGGCTCTGAAGTGTGGCTCGTTAGTTTATTACATTTTCATGAATCACATTACTGTCAAATATATATATATATATATATATATATATATATATATATATATATATATATATATATATATATATATATATATACAAGTTAAGTAAAGGACCGGGAGGTAAAGGTTACATCAGGCACACGGAATTAATGGAACATTTTTTCAATAGAAGAAGTGGAATATAGAAATAAGCCTTATGTTTGATTATATTAATAAGTATATGCAGAAAAAAGCTTGAACAGTTTGCCGTGCAAACAATATAACAAAAATTAATTATTCATAATCTTAGTAGAATAACATGATTAAAGGGTCAATATTGTCTATGTCTGCTCCAGAGGATGCACAAGAAGAGAGATAGTTAGTTAGTTAGTTAGTTAGTTAGTTAGTTAGTTAGTTAGTTAGTTAGTTAGTTAGTTAGTTAGTTAGTTAGTTAGTTAGTTAGTTAGTTAGTTAGTTAGTTAGTTAGTTAGTTAGTTAGTTAGTTAGTTAGTTAGTTAGTTAGTTAGTTAGTTGGGATATGATCATCCGGACATATCCATAAGTGCTCAGATCCTTCCCTCAATATGAACACCAGCGTCCTGTGACTAATAGTACCAGTTCTCTGTCAGTTCTAACTCCCGAGTCTTTTATTCTGGCTAGCGATGTTGAATCGCTGTCTCGAAAGTCCTTCACAGTTCCCACTTTTTTGAGAGCATTAATAATATCAACATAATCCATGGGTCAACCTTCAGTAGTTATAGCGGATTTCGCCAACTAATCAGCTCTTTCGTTTCCACCGACGCCCGTGTACCTCGGAACGAACATAAAGACGATGTTACGCACAATAGACTTTTGTAATGGCTCAGTTCATTGCTTTCGCACAGAACCTGCCTGGATCTTCTGGATCCTGCTCATGGAATCGCCAAGTACACACTCGGGTATAGTTTTGTGTTCTTAGTCAAACGAATGTTTGTGTTACGGCCATCATCTCCATCGTTTATGCTGCTTGTTCTCACTGAGAAGGCACCACTGGCTTCTTTGATTGTTCTATCCGCTTCTCTGTTGTCTTATAACGGGATGTGTCTGTGTAGATCAGTAGATCTGCTTCGTCTGAGTTATCGCTGATGAGAGCGTTGACCTCTGCAATGACCACAACAGCATTTTGCTCCCTGAATATTCTGTCGAGCGTGACACTACAAGAAAAGGTGCAGCTAAACACAGCAGGCACGGGTATCCACTCTTTGCCAGCAGTGATACTGGTTGGGCTACATACTTGCTTAATGACATCTTCTGCCCGACTAAGCCATGACTTAGCCGTCTTCATCCTGTCGCCCTTTCAGTGTAATGCATTTGATGAAATGGGTGTTTTTTATAAGTGCTTTTTTTAAGGTATGCACGAGCACTCTAGATCTTGATTCTTTGGTTCATGGTCAGAAAGTCAAGCAGATATCTCATTGCTAGACTGCAGGTGTCTCTCGTACATCCCAAAATAATGCGCACGGCTTTATTTTACACCTTTTCAAGTCTTTCAGTATGTGTCGAGCTGACAGTGAGGATGGTCTTTGCTCAATAATAGAACCTGCTACAACCCTCATTATCGACAGACCTCTGCGTGCTTTTGTTAACACATGGTCGATATGTTCCTTGAAGGACGATCAAACTGCCCCCGCAGGTATCTCATCGCGTTGGTTCTGATCAAAAGGTCATCACCTATCTTTACTTCTGACAAGTCCGTTTTGACAATGTGATTATTCAGAAAAAACCATGCCACCGATGCCTTTGAAATATTGACACAGGCATTGGAATCAACACAACAGGCGGATATTCTGCTGAGTTCGTTGTGCATTTTATTGGCGATCTTTCTGACTCTTCCTTGTCGATACATCAAAACGTCCGTCCTTTTCCATCCAACTGCTGCTCAGAGATCTTCACCGTATACACACTGAACAAAACTGGTGACAGAGGTGAACCCCGAGGCAAGCCTGAGCAAATCCTTTTCGGTTTTGAGGACCAACAGAAGCATATAATAAACATTTAAAAAACAGAGAGAGAGAGAGAGAGAGAGAGAGAGAGAGAGAGAGCGAGATAAATAGGGAGATAAATAGAGAGAGAGACAACGAAAGAAAGAGAGAAAAGGAAAGAAGGAAACAACGAAATTTAAAAATGAAAAAATAGAAAGAAACAAAGAAAGATTGTGAAGCAAAACAACAGAAAAAGGAAAGAAAGATATAAAGAAAAAAAAAAGACAAAAATAAAGAAAAAAAAAACAAAAGAAAAAAAGAAAGAAAGAAAGATAGAAAGAAAGAAAGAAAGAAAGAAAGAAAGAAAGAAAGAAAGAAAGAAGAAAGAAAGAAAGAAAGAAAGAAAGAAAGAAAGAAAGAAAGAAAGAAAGAAAGAAAGAAAGAAAGAAAGAAAGAAAGAAAGAAAGAAAGAAAGAAAGAAAGAAAGAAAGAAAGAAAGAAAGAAAGAAAGAAAGAAAGAAAGAAAGAAAGAAAGAAAGAAAGAAAGAAAGAAAAGAAGAGAAATGTGCAGATAACGTCTTTAATTTTTTTCCTACACCTCTGAACCATTCAGATTCGTACGGTTCACTTACTTACTGTACCGTTCCATTATATTCACTTACTGTAAACCAGGCTGTTGGAGGAGAGGTCACCTTCATTCAGGACGATGGCCAGTACCTGGAGATCGTTGGCACCGAGCAGAAACCCAACAATTATGTGTGCCTCAGCATCCACGGGAAGTACTCCGGCGAAGCTCCCAAAGCTGTAGTTCATGTGAAGCCTTTGAAATCTTCCAGTGACGTCACGACCAGGGAAATTAGGAGCATCAAAATCCGAAGAGGTAACATATTTTCTAGTGTATGTTCTATAGATGTATCTTTATGAATGTGCAATGAAATTATACCCAGTGCAGTCACAGTCGTGCAAGTACAGACGAACCTCTTTTTAAGAACTCGATTCGTACGTATAAACGTTCGCTTCCCCTCTCCCCTTTTCCCCTCGCTCCTTCTATCTCTTTCTCTTCCCTCCTATACCCACTACTACCCTCATCTGTCAGCCTTCCTTTCATTCTTTTCTCTTTTGCCACTACTTCTCTCTTACCCTTGCCCTTCTCTACCTCCCTTCCGTTACCATCCAGTTTATTTCACTTTTTATCATCCCTACACGCCTCAAAAACCACACTTATTATATTTCAATAGACAAACAGTCGTGTGTTTTTTTTTAAATGTATTAAAGACAATAGTTTCGATATGAAGCGACGTGTGTATACTATACATTACTTTTAGCTACCGATGTTTGGCACCTGAGTTCTGTGCCATCTACAAGTAACATCAAGACGCTGCTGCAAGGATTCGAGCCATACGTCCATAAGTGGGGAGATGACTCAATGTCTTCCAGCACTGCACATATATCGTCTCCAGCTCTTGCAGTCCATTATGCCAAAGGAAGTTACTCTCAAACAAAGAATGTTAGAGGTAAGCGTTTGCCAGTTGAATTCACCGTTTCTAATTCTTGAAACAATCGTTACAAGGGAGAATACAACTGGAAAAAGGGAGAGGGGGGAAGAGGTTGGGGAGAGGCAGTGTATTGGGAGGGGGGGGGGGGTATTGTGGCATTGGAGTTTATTAAATATTTGGTGATCTCTATCTGGAATATGATCAAAACAGTGAGCTGTGTAGTTCCATCGATAATCTTTATATATATATATATATATATATATATATATATATATATATATATATATATATATATATATATATATATATATATATTTTATATATAAAATTAAAACAAAACCTAATAAAAGCTTTCAAAAAAGTCATTTTTAAAGATTTTTACAGGGCGAAAGGGCTACAAAAAGGTGGGTGGTTGGGCATAAACTCTATCAACAGGCGTTGACATTAACCTTCGTTTTTTCCTGTGCTTGTCTGCAGTCACCTCATAAGCAGGCGTCTAGTGCTCATTTGGTCTTCTAATTAGGGCTTCGCCAAGTCGTGGTATGCAGGTAACGGATACAAGTGCTGAGCAGCTTAAAAGTGTTTTAGAACACTATACGTTCTATCGCTGTCCTATTTATTATGCCAGAGGGTCTCAGTGGCCAAGTGGTCACGCCGTTTGTCTCGCGCTCTGATGGTCATGGGTCCGTTTCACGGCTACGCTCTTCGGTTCACGAGTGCAGTTTCTACGCAGATCCCTATGGATTGTTGCCAGAGCTACGGAGTTCGTGCTATGCATGGCGCTTTTGGCAGGCGGCTAGCCGTTCTGTGGAAAGAGACTGAGCCATATGAGATGAAACCAGGTGCAACGAAGTCGATCCTCTCGACTTTAACTAACTTTAATTTATTATGTTTACACAAGCGACAAGTCTATTGACAAATATTACCATCAACTGCTTGGAGAATAGGATAAAGAAACAAATAATGTTACCATAACTCAATAACCGAGATCTTTTTTGAAGAAAAAAAAAAAAAAAACAGTCCGTCCCCGCTAAGACCTGAGCCCACAACATCAAGGATAAAGAAAAAGTATTGGTCCCTTTCCAACACATTTAGGCGTATTGTGAATATAGGGCTAAACCTTTATTTCTATAGACCAATCCGACTTGGTGGGTGATGTGGCTTGAAACACGTACAATATTCCACAGGTGTCGGCTTGTTCACTACTCCCAATGGCTTGTCATCGAGTGCCGATGATCTAGTTTTAAACTACGACATCTACTTTGACAACTTTGGTTGGGGTCGTATGGGTAAGCTCCCGGGCCTCTACGGAGGTGTTCAAGGTGAAGGAGCATATCAGTGCTCCGGGGGCAACAACCCGTCTACCTGCTTCTCACTGAGGTATGTAAAATATGCCAAATACAACTGTTTGTTCTCATTGCGGTATGTAAAATATGCCAAACACAACTTATTTTTCTTACTGAGGTATGTATAGTAAACTAGATAGAGCTCCTTGCTCTCACTGTTGTATGTATAGTAAACCAGACACAACTTATTGTTCTCACTGTTGTATGTATAGTAAACTAGAAACAGCTTATTGTTCTCACCGTTGTATGCATAGTAAACCAAACACAACTTATTGTTCTCACAGTTGTATGTATAGTAAACCAGACACAACTTTTTGTTCTCATTGTGGTATATAAAGTAAACGAGACACAACGTATTCTACTCACTGTGCAAATAATACATAAGTCATAGCTCATTCTTCTAACTAAGCTATGCATAAAATATCCTTCTTAGCTCATTATTCTACTGAGTTATAATTTACTGTCTGTCTGTTCCCGTCCATCCATCCATCCATCCATCCATCCATCCATCCATCCATCCATCCATCCATCCATCCATCCATCCATCCATCCATCCATCCATCCATCCATCCATCCATCCATCCATCCATCCATCCATCCATCCACCTGAGCGCACGTCTGTCCATCTATACACCCATCCATCCACACATCCATCCATAATCTACACATCCATCCACTCATCCATTCATCCATACATCTTTCCACTTACCCACCCATCTTTAGATCCATGTATCCATCCATTCATCCATCCTTCCATCCACACATCCATTCACCTGCCCGCACGTCTGTCCATCTATACACCTATCCATCCACACATCCATCCATAAATATACACATCCATCCACTCATCCATTCATCCATACATCTTTCCACTTACTCACCCATCTTTCCACCCATCCATTCATCCATCCTTCCATCCACAGACTTATGTGGCGCTCTGGAGGCGATGGTGAGCTGTATGCCTACATTCCCAGCAACCAGGAGTCCGGATTTAACGACCGTGATGACGTTATCGCCAACTCTGACTATGGTCAGTCAATTGGTAGAGGAAAGATTCGCTTCCAGGTCAGAAATGGAAGAATGTGTGACAAAGTTTACATTATATATTTCCTAAACTTTACTTTAGTTTACCTGTTGCTCTGTTAGACTGATGTTGTTTTTATTATTTCTACAACAAACACCTCTTCTGCGTTTCTGGTTACGAAGGAATTGGGGTGGGGTGATTTTACGATCGTTTGTATGGTTTTTTATGTGCTTTGAAGTTAATCTTCAGTTCTTTAAAGTTATTCTGAATTCCGTTTTTCCATCGCGTGAATGTGTGTGTGTGTGTGTGTGTGTGTTTTTTTTTAGGTATCCAGAAACCAAGAGTTGTAAACCATTTGGCTCGGTACTACGGATATATCAACCCTTCGGTCTTGATTCCATGATAGATACCGAAATCTGGGAGAAATGTGGCTTTTCTGCCTATTCCCGGGCGTGAACCCGGACCACAAGGAGTTCGTCACGCCGCGTAGATGGTGTTAACCAACTGTACTATCGACCTGGGTCTGTTTTAAAGTGCTTTGAAGTTGATCTTCATTTCTGTAAAGTTATTCTTGATGTCGTTTGTCCATCTCCTGTAGTGCGTGGAAGTTTAACTTTGTTTCAAGGTTGTTCTTGATGCCCTCGTTTTAGGTTCGGCCCGTGATTTTCCCTTTAATCTCGTCATCATACCTATCTGTGATAGGTCTCGTCAGATGGTAAGTCCAGATTATCTGGACAAGTGTGCCTTGTTGCGCACGTAAAAAAATCCCATGGCAGTGGAAATTGAAAAAGAGTAGCCTAATGGCGCTATCCCGGCAAACTTCAGAAATCAAAATCTGCCCAAAGTATTTCAGGATCCTCGCCGGTTCTGCGAAGTTCGTACACTGCGCTGAGATTCTACAGACTCAGGCTTGAGTTAGAAGTAGAACGGAGCACTTATGGGTTACTACCCTTGTGTCATGATGTTGATCGTTGTATAAACCAAACCAAACCAGTTCATCTGTTTTCCTTTAATGAACTGTATGATTGATTTCAATCCTATACTTCGGATTTATTTCATTTTAAATGTTATCCCGGCAGCTCTCCTTAGAAGTCTCACCTCTTCGTTTATAATCCTTCAATCCATCTTCTGCTTTGTCACAGTGACTCCTTTAATCAGTTTTCTTCTTGGTCGCATTGGCTCCTCTAATTCATCTTGTTCCTGGTCACAGTGACTCATTTAATCCATCTTCTTCCTGGTCACAGTGACTCGTTTAATCCATCTTCTTCCTGGTCACAATGACTCCTTCAATCCATCTTCTTCCCTGTCACATTGACTCCTTCAATCCATCTTCTTCTTGGTCACAGTGAAGTGACTCGTTTAATCCATTTTCTTCCCGGTCACAGTGACTCCTTTAATCCATCTTCTTCATGGTCACAGTGACTCGTTTAATCCATCTTCTTTCTGGTCACAGTGACTCGTTTAATCCATCTTCTTCCTGGTCACAATGACTCCTTCAATCCATCTTCTTCCTGGTCACAGTGACTCCTTCAATTTATCTTCTTCCTGGTCACAGTGACTCCTTCAATCCATCTTCTTCCTGGTCACAGTGACTCCTTCAATCCATCTTCTTTCTGGTCACAGTGACTCGTTTAATCCATCTTCTTCCTGGTCACGGTGACTCGTTTAATCCATCTTCTTCCTGGTCACAGTGACTCCTTCAATCCATCTTCTTCCTGGTCACAGTGACTCCTTCAGTCCATCTTCTTCCTGGTCACAGTGACCCATTTAATCCATCATTTTCCTGGTCACGGTGATTCCTTTTATCCATCTTTTTCCTGGTGACAGTGATTTCTTTGATCCATCTTTTTCCTGGTCACAGTGACTCTTTATCCAATCTTTTTTTCTAGTCACAATTATTAATTTAAACCATCTTTTTCTTGGTCAAAGTGACCCCTTTAATACATTTTTCCTGGTCACAGTGACTTCTTCAATTCATCGTTTTCCTGGTCACAGTGATTCCTTTAATCTGTTTTCTTCCTGGTCACTGTAACTCTTTTGATCCATCTTCTTTTTGATCGTCCCCTACATCATATGTCGACTATCAATAAAAATGTAGATCCAGAGCAACAAGTCAATAGTCTGACAAGAGTCTTGTGTATGACCCTGATCAGTAGAAATTATTTATTGCAGTCCTTTGATTGCTTTCCTTCAATTGTCACCGGTCGCAGAAAACGCGCATCCTTTGTGATCGGTTTGCCAGTGATGAAAGAAACTTTATTTATACGTAGTCATGTATCATTTAGGAGATACTCACTGGGATAACAAAGTATGTACGGACTGTAGACAACATGACATTCGTTGCCCCAGACAACGAACATTTATTAACAGACACTAGTCACGCTATAGAGCTAGTTTAGTAGCTAACGGATAGCATGCCGACTGTAACGTCTTGGGTTCAAATTCCCATCAAGACGGATATTTTGAAATTGAAAGAATCAGGTCAGCCCATTCTAATTAGCTCCCTCTTCATCTTAGGTGTTGTTCATACCAGCTCCTTTCCCAACAACCCTCACTAGATACTAGAGTACGCTTCAAGCCACTAGTTTAAGTGCAATTAAGTTTTCTTAGCCAACATAACTGGTACAAAGAAACCAGACCACAATTATAACCGATACTGTTGGCAGAAGGCTTAAGGTGGTGAATTTTCTTTTTTTCTTCCTTTTTTTAAAATAATGGATGTATGCATCTTTTTTTTTTTTTTTTTAAACGGATGTTGACACGTTGTGTTGTCGTTCACAAAAAGTTTTCCGATCTGCACTTTTTCGGCCCACATATCTGATTTTAGCAAGTCCATATTTATTCATTTACATGTTCATTAGTGGGACAGTGAGGTTATTCTCTGTCTTTACAGGTCTTTCGCTCCTGGGATTTATCTCCAGCAGTTTTGTTTTATTGATCATTCAATATCATGGGTGGGGGAGGGGGGAACCAGTTTAGCACCCTTGGTCTCTCTCACTGATGTTCTTTTTAAGGTTTCTTACTGTATTTCTTTTTCTTGTTCTTTTTCAACATTCCGAGCCCTTGAGGTTTATTGCTGTAGATATCACTCACCTTCATTCATCTATCTGGTTGGCCTTCTCTTTCCAGTTGGTGACACCAAGTGTTTGCAGGTCTGTCTGGATATTAAATCTCCGTCGTCTTCTTGGTCTGCCTCGTGGTCTACGGCCATTTATCTCCCTCGTGTATACAATCCAAAACCAATTTATGTCTTTACAGTTAAAAAGTATTTCAAAAAATTACAACATTAAACTTTAGATTTCCTCCACCCCCCCCCCCCCCGCCCCTTTTTTTGACACACCAGGGCCCAATTTTATCCCGTTTTAAGGCATCGAGGAATTTGTCATCTGACATTCTGTCAATATACCCCAACTATTTCAGTCTATTAGCTCTCATGATGCCAGAGATCAGTAGGGATTTAAACAGATTATGAATTTCGTTGTTGCTTCTCACTCTCCATTCGCCGCTGTTTGCATCTTTGATAAGTAAAAGATTCGTCGTAAGACTGTTTTCCAAAACCTGTAATAAGGCTTCCATTTCTTTTAGTTGTGCTCCAATTTTCAGAGCCATTTAAAACGACTAATCTTATATATTTGGATCTTGATGTTGCGAGACAGACACTTTGACTTTAGCGGATGTTGAAGGGCATTGGAAACTTTATTTCAGATTGTATTCTATATTGTATTTCCTCTCTCAGCATGTTGGAGCGGTTGAAATTTGCTCCTAAGTACTTATATGTTTCCGTTCGTTTGATTTTCATATTATCGACTTGAATGTGGCCGGAGTTTATATCCTTTCCCTGCATAGTTATAATCATGTATTCTGTCTTATCTTGATTGATAACTAGTCCCATTTTCTGAGCTGATTCTTTTAAGACAATCAGTGTTTCAACAGTCTCCAGTTCATTTTCTCCAACGATATCAATGTCATAAGCATATCCAAGTATTCTTGTAGTTTCTCCTTTAGTACACTCTTGTTTCAATTGCCTCCAGGGCCAAGTTGAAAAGAAGTGAGGACAGAGCATCACCTTGCTTTAAATCAGATGTTTTTTGAAAAGGGTCTGACTTTCTGCCTTTATATATTACTGTATTATAAGTGTCTTCCATACAAAGTTTGGTCATGCTAATTAACTTCTTTGGTATTCCAAAGTCCTTCATAGCAATCCATAAACTGTTTCTATGTACACTATCATACGCCTTTTCAAAATCCACAAATGAATTGTGTACATCTTTTCTATATTCCCAGTTTTGCTCTTCTATTTGCCATAAAATGAGTATCTGATATATTGTGGATCTGTTCTGTCGGAAACCCGCTTGGTAATATCCCAATATGGTTTCGACGTTTGGTTTTAGCCTATGCAGCAGTACCGCCGAAAATATCTTACAGCTTGTAGATAATAGTGATATTCCTCTTAATTATCACACTTATGCTTGTCTCCATTCTTGAAAATGGGTATTAATAAAGACACTTTCCATTCATGGGGTAATTTCTCCGTCTTACTGTATTTATTAATTCAAAATAACTTCTTCAGATTTAAATTCATAACTTTCTAGGACTGAAAAAGTAAATAACATTTCACCTCGTGATCCCCACAGAACGGAGTCTGGCAGACTGTGACAGAACAAGTTCATCTCAACACCATTGGACACACCGACGGATGGGTAAAGTTTTGTAACCAGGTCCACGGAGGAGGTAGCCAGCAGTGCTACACAGCTAGCAACCTGCGCATGCGTAACAGTGCTGGTCATCATCTTCGGGGTCTGTTCTTCTCCACGTTCTTTGGAGGCAGCCAGCCAGACGATGCAGCTCCTAATGATTGCCACACCCACTTCAAGGAACTGCGTATCCAAGTCCCTGATGGCGCGGTGGTTGGCTGATTAACTGTTGTTTTACATTCGAAAGACGCTGAGATTGTTTGTTGCAGAATATCGGACAATAAAATAGAAATAATTGATGCATTGAAAATACAGTGTTTATAAAGATTGTCAAGTTTTTTTAAGAAGTCCTTGGGGAGTTAATTAGGATAATTGCATATCATGTGTGGTTGTGTGTGTGTGTGTTGAGGGTGGGTGTGGGTGGGTTGTGCATCTTTGTGCCTTTGAGGCTAGAGGAGGAATTATTAAGTGCTTTAGTAATATCTCAACCCAGGCAGGGTAAATCCACAGGTCACGGGACAGTCTAATATTTCAGGGAGTGGTAGATAGGCTGCATGCAGGCGTGAGACCTAGGCTGCTCTCTCTCGTGGGACGTTGGTGGGTTGGGGTTAGAGCCAGTTCTAGATGTTTTGGGGGTCGTTAAAAGCATTGGAAAGCCGGGAAACCCAGTCTTATTACCCTCTAAAATGTTAGACTGTCCTGTGAAGTCATCGGGGGGTAGGATAATAATGAAGCACCATTTAATAATTTTGTATTAGGCAATTTGACCATGTTAAACTTCACTGTGGCATGGAGAGTGTAATGAGTGGGAAATCCGCTGACGTAGAAGGGATTCCCAAGGGTAACAGGTTAAAGGTCAAGGGCCAGTTATGAGAAAATCCAGGAAATCGTGTATAAAGAAAGCTTGGTTTTTCTTCTGTACAAATGAGCGATAAGAAGCTCGTGAACAGAGAGAACGAATTGAAGGTAAGGAAGTAGGAATGTTCAGCTGGTGTTTTGACAGGGTGAGAGACAGGTCGACCTGAATAAGAAGAGTGTCTGCCGTGAACAGTGATCGCTGACAGTGGGAGCAAGTACTTGGAATAGAAGGCAGATGGCTGAACCAGAAGTAACCCTGTATGGGAAGTTTGAGCAGCTGAGAATACTTGTTGTACTGTGCTTCAGATACGAGATCCCAGTTTAAATGGAACATCCAGAGTGAAAGGTTAGTCCATGTTCAAGCTGAGTTCATGTTGTGGCAGTAGTTGTGACTGATCATTAGATAAACGAGTGAGGGCTGAGTACATTGACCGGACAACACACTTGTTGGAACCGCCACGACAGGCTCCAGCTGACGGGCCGTGCTGCTGAAGTCTCCAGATCGGGCTAACGATGCGTTATCGCAGCGGTTCTCAAACTGGGTGCCGAAGCAATAATCAAGAAAAGTCAGCTAAAAATTGTGAAATTTAAAAAAAAAAAAAGGAAGTCATGTAGAAAATTAAAAGTTAAAATTTAACTTCTCTTCCCACGCCACTGTCGAAAATATTTTATGTCTTTTTTTTTTTTTTTTTTTGAGAACCGCTGCGTTAACGTATCGCTGGCCCGACCCAGTGACGTCAGTAGCACAGCCCGTCAGCTGGAACAGCAGTAAACGATTTCTAGGTTAATCTGATTATCGTCGCAATGCATGGGTACTCCTAACTTAATTCATAAAGAAAGGGGAAACCAGAGTTGCGGTGGGTCCAAGAAAGACACAAAGAGTGGGTACGTCATTTCAGCCAACACGGTAATGAAGGGCGGGTACATTTTTCGCAAAATATGGCAGACGCATACCACCGCGAAGGTGGATACACGCATTAAAGATGCGTTGACTATGAAAGCACAAAGAGCCGGAAAATTGGCTAGAGGGAGAGAGAGAGAGAGAGAGAGAGAGAGAGAGAGAGAGAGAGAGAGAGAGAGACTTTGAGGCGTGTTTTGAAGAGAGAGACGTTCTGCAAAAGACCGCTGACTGATGGTGATGATGAGTACTAGAGTTCGATGTCAACTGTGGATTGTGCGTGTGTGTGCGTGGGGGGGGGGGAGTGCGTGCCTGTGTGTGTGTGTGTGTGTGTGTGTGTGTGTGTGTGTGTGTGTGTGTGTGTGTGTAAGTTTCCGTAAATATGGGATGAGGTAACAAAGTCTCACCGGGGAAGATATTATGGCCCTACTAGGTAAAACTCATAAAGACACATGATTTGTTTTTGTTATCGTAATAAGAGAACTAGTCGTTGTCTAGAGTGTATAGAGCAGACGAGACAGGGTTTCTTTCTAATCAACGGCTCACTCCTCCACATCAAATTCAACACCTGTTGATAACAGTTTCATGTTTATTGATCCCAACCCATGAGCCACGAAAGTCAGTCTAATCACCCGTCTAACAAAAAGCCTAGTGACAAACTACAGTATGACACTTACTTAACACATCCAAGTTCCACTTGTCCGCACTTTAAAAAAAAAATTACGATTCAAGGATCTTCTGCTAGCACACTACACCAGAACAAACTCTGAACTGTTCTCCCCAGTCTCCACAGCTATGCAGAACACAACACATCTGTGCACTCCATGTCCTGATGGCTGCTACTGGCACCTCTTACCTCAACGCGCAGAATTCATCTTTGACTGGTGGCCACGATTATCCTTTGGCGATGCTCTATTATAGAGACCCCTCCATCTGAGGACTTTGTTAGTCGCACCAAATTGATGATAGCAGACAAACATCAGACGACCAACAATAAAAAAAAACTTTAGCATCTGGTTGCCATGATGACTTAAAGCGTTAGTGTCAGTTGTTTTATACTACCGTAACTGTGGAGTACCGGTTCTATTTACTTGACTAAAATGATACCTGATCACTTTATCAACTCATACATTCACGGCAAGATAAAATAAATGCAATGAAGAAATGCCCTTTAGTCGTGGTGAATACTGGGTGGGAGAAATGGCAACCCGGTCTAAACTCGCAGAGAAGTCCAAGGAAAGGGTACTTTTATCACAGGAAAAATTCAATTCAATAATTGTGTGTCCATTTGCAAGCACATACAAACATACAAACATGTGTGCGTGTGTATCTGTGTGTATGTGTGTGGAGCATGCTGATTGAACTGATGTGATCTTGTTGAGGGCTAATGCTCCAGTAGAAAAGCAAAATAAAAAGTAGTAGTAGAAGTAGTAGAAGTAGTGGTAGTAGTACTAGTAGTAGTAGTAGTAGTAGTTGTAGTAGTAGTAGTAGTAGTTGTTGTTGTTGTTGTTGTTGTTGTTGTAGCAGTAGTTGTAGTATTAGCATATAGTAATTGTTGTAGTAGTAGCAGTTATTGAAGTAGTAGTAGCAGTTGTTGTAACTGTTATTTTTGTTGTAGGAAGAGGAGGAGTAGTAGCAGCAGCAACAGTAGAAATAAAAGTAGCAGCAGTAACAGCAAAAATAACAGTAATTGTAGAAGTAGTAGTAGTAGTAGTAGTAGCAGTAGCAGTAGCTGTAAGTAGCAGTAGCAGTAGCAGCAGCAGTAGCAGCAGCAGCAGTAGCAGCAGCAGCAGTAGCAGCAGCAGTAGCAGCAGCAGCAGCAGTAGCAGCAGCAGTAGTAGCAGTAGTAGTAGCAGCAGCAGCAGCAGCAGCAGCAGACTAAGAAAAGTGAGTATTGGGAGAAATAAAATGTAGCAGTAACATCACGATAGCCACTGTATATATCAACTCTCACGAGACTTCAGTAATGGAAAACCTTGGTCTATTGCAAACTACTTTTGTTTTTGTCACGCGGTCTCTTTACCGCAGTATTTAAATTGCTAAACCTTCCCGGAACACTGCCAAGTGGGAAACATGTTCTGTCCTGAAGCAGTTTTGCTACACAATCTTTCGTTAAACTTGTCTTCAGCCTTAATGGCAGTTGAAGTATAAGAAAACCCTTGTAATGGCTGGAGCTACAACAGACTTTTCCACTCTAGAGACTCCACAGCGGGACAAGTGATTTGTTCGACTCTTACTGTCAATTGTGTCTTGGGACTAATACATTCCTAAGGAGTCGTCGTCTCGTGTTATTAGGGTTGGTACTTTCGCTTAGTACTGCTTTGAGACAGTGGTTCTCAAAGTAAGCAGCAATGACCCCCGACAGCAATGGATCTTTTAGCATGAAAGGTTTTCAGCTTGGCTGCAGTATCTGCACCTTTCTATGCCTTGTTTCATGTCTTTACTGTAAACGGTCAATGTTCCATATCTTTACTGATAAACGTTCGCGGTTTCGATCGCGGTTCGTTGGAATTGCCATTTGGACTCGCAAGGCCTAAGCAACGGACGCCGCTTGAGACGAGAGACTTCTTAACAGCTAAATAACGCCTACCATAATTTACGGACATGAATCGTGGATAGTTGATAGTTTAATGAACAATTATTTGGATGCTGCGGAGATGTGATTTTATTGACGAATTATGATAACCTGTGGACAGATAAAAAGAGTAATGACGATGACTTGAAAGAAAGTGAGTGATTCGCGAAGAGAACTGATTTGCCACATCAAAAAGAGACCATCTACATTCTTTGGTCATGTCATGAGAAGGGGAAAACTTGAGTATATCTTGAAAATGGGAAAGATGGAGGGGAAAAGAAGCAGAGGGAGACCGAGAGAGAAGACGCTGGACAGTTTGTCACCATAGCATGAAAGAATATCTTATCAGAGTTGACAGAAAATATACGAGACAGAGAGGTTGTGGATATATATGATTACCAACGCAACACGACATAGACTTTGAGAAAAACATATGGCAGAGGCTTCACAGCCTTTACTTTATACGTTCATCATCACCATGAAATGCCTTGCCGACCGGTGTGGGCGATCAAGCATATTCTCAGTCTGCGATCTGAAACTATGTGTATCAATCAGTTCGTGCGTTGAAATCCCTTTAGACTATGACGAGAGGCTGTCAAGAAACTTTTAACGTTACCCTAAAATAGAAAGCAGGGTACACTAGAGTTATGATTTACCGGTTGGCTTGGCATCCTGGATGATACCCTTTGAGTCGCGGGAGTGGTTACACCCTCTGGTTGCAACCAATATAGGGACACACAGTCATTCTTGATGCTAGCTAGCTAACTAGTTAGTTGGTTAGCTATTTAGTTACTTAAATGGTTAGTTAGTTTGTTAGCTTGCTAGTTCGTTATTTAGTTAGTTAGATGGTTTGTAAGCAGTAAGATGGTTAATTTGTTAAATGGTTAATTA